AACATATATCTGCCGGTCGAAAAGGACTTATGCTGGAGGTGCGGCTACCCCGGACATCGCCGCAATGCCTGTAGGGGCAAGCCCCTAACCTTTTGCTCTCGATGCGGCCATGTTGGGTACTTGTCATCCGAATGTCCGTGTGAGTCACGGTCAAAACCTCCACAACCGTCAACTTCGAGAGCAGCCCGAAGCTCATTACGTGATATGACCACGTCTACTCCGCCGACACACCGAGGTGCCTTAAAGCCCAAGCCATATACCAAAGCGTCTGTGTTACACCGGGAGTTACCGGCAACCAGGCGACAGAGTACAGCATCCGTAGGGGTGCAGTGTTGTTTGCATCAGCTCAAGTACCGGCCTTGTCGCTTGTGTGGTTGTCCGTATGGTCGCCTATCCAGAGGCGTACCCGATTTGTAAAAATTATTATTATATCTGGTGAGGTACCAGGGGGGCCTGAGGAACCACCAGTCGCCGTAGACCCCGACGATTCCAGCCGCTTGTAGAGACGACCCTCTGACATTGCCAGAACCATGGGGGAACAGATATGGACATTTATTTTTCGTTTTGGGTATATAGTTTTAATTTTAATTTTTTTCAGTACCTTTTATTTTGCTTTAGAGAACCGGATAGGTTCATATTTTTTTTTTTGTATTCCTATATAGAGCTTATAAAATATTTAAGTAAAAATATTTTTTCCGAAGACGAGGAAGTGTGTAACGAAGGTTACTAAATTTTCCGTGCATCCCGGTCATTCAATTAGTTAAAATTAGCGCGAGTTCAATCAATCGGATTTTATGAGACTCACCCCGGGGTGGAGTAGATTCTGAGAGGGGTTGCAACCCGCTGCAGTTCCCCATGATCGCGTGACCTCGTATTCTCCGCGCTGGTAGAGTGGATACGACGCGCGATCATCGCCGTACCCACACTCCTTGCGCGCGACCGTCGAAGCCGGTACCAGGATTTTTGGCTATAAATATAGCCGCGCTTCAAGAGAACGGGGATTCCGTCTCCGATTCCGCTTCCGACTCCAGCTCCGATCCGACCAGCCGACAGCCAAGGTACGCCGACCTCCGCCGCCGTCTCCGCCGTCTTCAGTCGCCGTCTCCGCCGTCATCCGCCGCGACGCCGTCATCCGCCGCGACGCCGTCGACAATGGTAAAGTAGAGTGAGAGGGCAGGTATCTTCTTCTAAGGGGTATAAGGATCATAGATTGTATAGAGTGCTGCCGGACCGATTACGGGGCTATCTATCCTTTCTATGACGAGGCAAGGGGGGGTCTGTCCGGACCGATGACGGGGGTTCACTCTTGCTTCTATCCTTATATTTCTGCCATTTCTTTCTTCTTTCATTGGCATATTTATTGGTGACATGGATTGCACGGGGTTGCTGCCGGACCGATTACGGGGCGCTCTAATCTTTTCATGACGAGCCAAGAGAGCGTCTGTCCGGACCGATTACGGGGTATCTCTCTTGGTTCCATTCCAATACTTATGTCATTCTCTGGACTGCGGATCGAATAGCGTTTCGGCTCTATTCTCTCCGTAGAGGATTGGTGGGGATGTCTCCGACCGAACCGATACCGAGTGACGCACCCCTCCAATTCTGTCCTTCTCTTTTCTTTAAACCTGCACTCTACTCGGTTGCATAGTTCGCGCATGCGCCTGGAATACGAGCTGAATGTGGTAGGAGCACGGCAGCCTAGCATCAATAATTCCTTGGAGCTATTCACCGAAACCGTTATTTTTCCGCAATCCTATTGACCGATACCGTTATTTTTCCGCGATCTTATTACCGCGATTCTCCGCCACGTACATAGTAATTACACATTCTTCTCGCCGACTTCGTTCCCCTCTCCCCGCTCTTTGTCTCTCATTTAATGGCATTTTTCACTGTTCCTTTTATCTTATGTAATTGGGCAAATACAAACTTTAATTTGTAAGTTGGATTCTGTGTTTCATTTTGAGGATGCGCATATTGACCTCTCGTTTTCCGTCTCCACTGTTTAAAAGCTACCTAGTGCACGTGGGCCCTTAACCACATTAATCCTAAGGGTGGCGCCCGAGTTTTCCGAAAACCCCGAACCGACCGCTTTTTCACCGGAAAACCAAAGTAGCGCTACAATCTCTGTGAAGATTTGGTTTAAATAAATAAGGTATTCGTGATTATGATTAGATGTAACAGGTTTCTGAACAAATATTCAATCAAATTAAATAAATTATAAATAAATACATATACAAAAGATATTTGATTCGAATAAATAGGTATTTGTTTGAAAAAAATCTAGGAGTTTTGTTTTACTGAAAATTAGATTTGAAAGCAATGAAATATAAGCGTGTTGTATATGTATAATATGTAAAGTAGGTTAATAGAATAAATTGGCTCATTATAACTAACATCCTACCTTCTAACGTTGCCCATATATGGCCTAATTTCCATCTCTCTAGTAGGTCTTGCACGCTTCTTGACTCCGAATTATTCACATCCCTTGCAACCTTGCACAAAAAAACTTGCCACTTAACAAAACGTGCGATAAAACCAAAAATATCATGGTAAAACGCATAATCTAAGGTTATTACTTTCAATTACTTTACATCATTGCTTTACACCGGTTCAATTTAAAATCTAAGGCCTGAGGCCAAACGCCAGCCCAGCCTATCAGAATTCAGAGAATCAGTGCGAACTACTAACCGAACCGCGTGGTAGTGTCGGCCGGCAACAGGAACATCAGGACAGGATCACGGCAGTTGAAGAATCATCCCCAACTCAATTCGATATTTATTTGATTTAAACAAATCGCTCTTGATCTAAATCAACAGGCATTTAACTTAACGCTCTGGTTATTTGTTTGCAGCTCCTTTTTTAACATGTTGTCCCTTTGTTTAACGTAAATAAATATACATTTCATTGAAAGTAATATCAATAAAACAAATATTGAAGAAAAAATGAACAAGTGAAGTTATTCTCATTAAATTCACTTTATTTGGTACAACAGAATTTAGTTTAATTTGAACAAAAACTTTTTAAACAAATATTTATTAGGAATATTCAAGTCCTTATTTTTTCCGTGTATGCACTGAAAAAATTAGCAAAAAATTTGCCTAATAAATATTTATTTGATTTTTTTTTATTTCACCCAAATAATCATTAGTTAAACCAACGACAATGTATTTGCTTTAAATAAATCTGTGTATTTGGTTTTTTCAAATTATTTGTTTGACTTTTTAAAATGATACGAGTTGCATTATTAAATAAATATGTATTTAGAACAAACGCCACAAATCTAATATATTCAGATTTTTTTAACGAAATAACAACTACTTTAAATTACATACTCTGGAATTTTTACAAAATAAACATGACCAAAATTCAAATAACTGGGATCTCTGTAGACATTTGGCAATTTACGCGCATGCTCGAGTTCCGAATACTGTGCTGTGTGCATCACTGCCACTGCTCGGTCTTTCCTGTTGGTGGTTTGGCACACGTCGCATGGTGTTACTTTGAATTTTTATTTTTCGGAGTGGTTTCGGCAAGATGGAAGATCTTTCGGCAGAAGTGGGTGTGCAATATCTGTGGCCTTTAATACACAGTAAGTTGAAATTATAATACCTACATAATAGGTATAATTCACAATATTTCCAAATCATGCAAAAAATTTCAGCAAGATGGTGTCTCCAGGAACAAAAAAATACGTCGCCTTGGCCGATATTATTTTTATTGGGGACTTATTTCTACCTGGACCAGACAAACATCCTCTCACAACAAGGCAACAAGCAATAGGCAATTCGCAATAATATTGGACGCAAGTATTTTACATTTATTTAAATTAGAAATCTCACATTAGAGCAAACAGCAATATTTTCCGTTCGACAGATATCGAGTTGCTCTAATGTAAGAACTCGGATTTAATTCAATGTAGGATACTTGCCACCACAAAAACTGTGCATCAGACGAACCACCTGCAAACATTTTTAGAAGTGCCATCGAAGTGAATCAGATTCCAAACAATGATGATGGGACAGGAAAAGAGAATAACGATGAACGTCGGAATGAGAACGACCCTCCTACTGTGCAGCTTGACAATAATTTATTGATTTAACTAGAATAAAAACATAATTAGATTGAACAAATCAGGCTTTAAATGGAACAATTGGTTTATTTGGTTCAAAATAAAAGAGGTTGAAACAAATACTTGTTTTATTTATATTCAAAAGCAAGTAGCTCACAATAAATAAATATTTATTTAATTTAAATATTTTCTATGAGCTAACTAATGCATGATTTATTTACTAGACCTAAATATTTATTTATTTTGTAAAAATGGTTGATATTGAGCTAAACAACGAATAATTTAATTCAAGAAAACGGAATGGAAACGGTCAAACAAATCCAGATTTTTTTTTCAAACAAATATTTGTTTGTTCATTATCAACCAAATATTTACTTAAGGAAACTCCATTTTTCTTTACACCAAATTATTTTTTTTTTTGTGTGCATATAATATTGGCACAAAAGATTGTGACTGCTATAAATGGCACGAAGCTATAAGTAAAAGGGGTGCATCCGAAATAGCTACCTGCGTATATATTTTCTTGAAAGAAAATGCTAAGGAACCTTTTAGGTATGTAGATCTATTTTCAGATCGATGCTTCGACAAAACAAAAATTCTGTAATGCCTATTATGCTTCTCTATTTTGTAAGAAATAGCCGACATATTGAGCAAATATCTTTAAAATTCTTCGAAAAATCGCATGGGCAGAATGAAGGCGACTCAGCACAAGCAAAATAAACAAAATGTGACGAAGTGTCCTCACCGACTTTAATTATTGTTTATGTGTCTGAATGTTGACGCTTTCACATTGTTGCAATAAGTTGAACTATGTTGCTTTGGTGGTGACGTAACGCTTTATTTCCCAGCTGAACTCCCTAAACGCACCCATTGTTACGGCACTCAGAGACAAATTCCTTGGGTTCGTCCAATTAAATCTGGCCAAACATACTGAAAATCCACTTATATTTTTTAGGATATATATTTTTTAATAAAACGTTTAACTGATTATTACATTTTGAAGACATTCAGTGTAAAACTAATTCTAATCCTATAAAATGATAGGGATACGGTATTTTGTGACCAATAAGCGCGAAGCGATTATTTAAGTTTTCAATGTTTTCAATGTCGTGTCTATCTTGGCAAAAATATAATACTATAGTCTATCTTATCTTGATATCAAATTAGACACGAGTTAACCAGAAAAAGTAACTGGTCAATCTGGTATAGACTCCTGGCATTCCAACGGAACATCCAAAATCGCTTCCATATGATGCAATTCCCACCTGAAAACAAATTTGATAATTTCAAAAATGGGACAAAAAGGCTGATTTAGTAAAGTGGCAGTTGCCACAATAGTTATTTGTTTTACTAGGCAAAAAATCACGAGACGAAACCAGGAAACCAGCCAAGGCTGAATTAATAGAATATTACATACCGAGGTGGAAAGTGTTCACCGAGGTATGTATACTATTTTATTTACAATCATTCGAATTTTGAAATTTTTATTTGAATTAAAACTAAAAAATACAATAATTGACAATTTCATTTCCTTTCGGCCCACGGGTCAAAAGTTTACTTTCGACCCGTGGGCCGAAAGTAAAAGTCAAAAAATACAATAAATTTTAAAAATTTCATTTACTTTCGGCCCACGGGTCGAAAGTAAACTTTCGACCCGTGGGCCGAAAGTAAAAGTCAAAAAAGTGACATTTTCGAACTTTTTAAAAGTCAGTAAAGTCAACATTACATGTATGATTGTAAATAAACTGATTATATTTGAATAAGTTCCTTTACCCATATACACAATCTGCTTTTCTGCCGTGTGAAAGATATAATTTTTTATCCGAATTTGTTCCAAATTCACGCATAATCGTCCTATTTATATTGATTAATAATTGCGTTTGCGTTTCATTGTCAATATCCAAATAATTCAATTATTTTCACAAAGGTAATTGGCTCTTCGTCACTATGTTTACTGCCCATGACGTCTGTTGAATTCAATATCATTTCAATATTGAAGTCAATTTAAAAAAATTCTCAAGAAGCTTTCCGAAATAAATCTATTTGAAAGTGTGGCTGATTTATTGCTATTAACACTACTTGAGATAAAAGACCTCTGGCGCGATTATATTGTTCACCTAATATAATTGGGTATTTTTAATTTTAATTACCAGTGTAATTTCAATTAAAACCTTATTGCATAGCATAATTACTTTTTCTGGTAAGGCAGTAAAAATACATCTTGCAAGCGTCAAGTATCATTAAAAAGCCTTTTTTCTATTGATCGGTAGCAAAGACAATACTACTACTTCGTAGTAGTATTGTCTTTGATATGACGCAGCTTTGTCACAAGATAAGATGATAAGTCAAATATTAACAAATATTTTGAGAACTCAAGCGTGAATCTTTCGCATTAAGCCATAGAGCGAGGCAATTAAGCCGATCGCATAGACCAACGTCTCAGTTATTAGGAAACTAAAATTTGTTTCACGAGGGTTTATACTTTCGACATAATTTGTTTGCCTGTTTTAACAAATAAAAGTTGACTGAAACAAATCAATGACATCAAAAACGTTCGTCGGTTCTTGAACCAGAAGTCATTCATTTTAATTTATCAAAAAAATGGTATGTGTCATATGAATTAATCTACGACAACCCTTTTTTTTTCAAGTTATGACGTCTTCGATGTCAAAAGTATAAACCTTCGTGAAACGAACTGTAGACACAAGCAAATTTTGAGACCTATCTTCATCCATACCTGCGTTCCATTAACAACTAACGGACTACCCGTATCTCCCAAACAGATATTTTGTCCATCTTGCATTCCACTTGTACACATTTGGGAGCTTTTAATTTGACCCAAATATGATATCGTACAAGCCAAATAAGGAATAATGGTTACTTCAATTTTCCGCAAGACGTCTGAGTAATCTGGAATAGTGTCGTTATATCTGCCCCATCCAGAAACCAAACCTGTGTCGTCATTGTAGGACACGAGCAAATCCTCTAATGTTGGAGTAGAAATTGTATTTATCGAATCTGAAAGAAACGAATCATTTATTAAATTCAATTCACGCTAAAAAAATAATCTAATTTTACCTGTAAGAGTCACTTCCTTTTCTAAATGAATAACAGCAATATTATTCAAATGCGTATCATCTTCGTAATCTTCATGAATTGTAAAATTGGTCGAAGTTAATTTTAGTTGTGTTTCTTCTTTTTCGTCTAAATTGTGAGCTCCTAAAGTTATTGAAACAGATTTAGCTCTAAAAAATATTTTCTTCTGAATTAAACTGATTATTTTGAATAAGATCATTTACCCATATACACAATATGCCGCAGTTAGGACTTTATTGGTTTCAATTAAGCTACCACTGCACCGGATAGTTCTTTCATTAATTGTAGATTCCAGGGCTACCTAAAATTAACCCTATATATTGCAACATTATGCAGGTGACGACCATAACAGCACAAGCAGGAACATGTTTCCCAGATATAATACAGCTTACTTACCATATATGGTAAAGAATGGGGCTCTACTACCACTCCATTTACTATTTTTAGGCTCACATTAACTACAAATGGCTGGAAATTTTTTCTGTAGTTTTAAACCTATTATGACATTTTTATTTTACTCACCCAAAAAAGCATGAAACAAGCTAAATGCAATAATTTAGTAGACATTATTTTTTTTTTAACAACAATCACAAAATTCTAAGGTAATTATCGTAATAAATTATTCTTTGTAAATATAGCTAGAATTCTGTAATCTTTTAAATGTGTACTTTAGATTAAATTATCAATCTTTCGGATGTATGATAATTCTTATCGACTTTAGTAAAACAGTGTTTATAAGTAGAACAATTAAATATTTGGATAATTTAATTTAAATACATCGTGGATTGGTTCGATTGTAGCATACATCCAGCTCAAATATTAGGTCACTCTTGCATAACCTGAAGGCCATGCTTGGGTACGACCAAAAGCACTATCAAGATAAACAACACCGACCTGAAAAAAATTAAATTACTGTAGTTAGTAAAAATAGGACTTTCCTTTATTATACCTGCTTGCCAGCACGGGTAATTACTGATATTCGAGGTACTTGGACTATTACCTCAATATTTAATGTGTATTGGTAAAAGAAAATTAAATTCTTCATTGGAATTATTCCTGGAGAATTAAATGAAAATATTCGATTAGCACATGAAACGTTCTGTAGCAATACCCTGTATCTTGACAGTTAGGTAACGTGTTTTAGAACTGGTTTGGAATATTTAATGAAAAATCTCAATAACGGTCCTTTTCAATTGTTGTATCAGCAGTAAAACTGTCAAGATACAGGGTATTGCTATAGAAAAGTTCCACGTGCTAGTCGAATATTTCTATTTAATTCTCTAGGAATTATTCCAATGAGGAATTTAGGTTTGTTCTACTACTACAAATTAATTATTGAGTTACTTGGACTATTTCAACAATAAAAACTGTACAATATAATCTGATAAGAGATTCATGGCGAAAAACAAGTAATTTCCTATTTTTTGTTGCTTCTCCTCCAAATTGTTCTTATTATTAATAATCTTTTATCACGAAACGCAATAGTGGCGAGGATAATAAACGGAAACGCGAGTATCTGAAGTTAATTCAACGTGGTCATGACTTGCAAAACGAAAAAATGACAAAATGGCGATGTCAATCGCGCCAAAATTTTCTGAATTTCACCACGAGACCGACGATTGGGAAATATATTGTCACGAAGCCGCTATGTAGCTCGACTATTCACCCTGAAAAGCAGAACGGGAAGGGAAGAGGAACACTAGAACAAATATAATGTATTTAATGTTCTAGGGCAGTCTCTATTCGTCCAGATAGCTCCTGACTTTGAGGCGTGTCTAAACATCTACTGATACAGAAAAGCGTTAAGACATGAGTTAGATGAGCCCCTCTTAAGGACAATACTACTATACATTTTATTCTACTTTAGCTTACGCAGCATATTATATTCATTTAAGCTTATTTCGCTCTCACAACAGTTAGTCAGAGCTACGCTTTCTTAAGAACGTATTGTAACCACTAGGTATATTTTTACTCGTATTTTAACATTTTTGTTTTAGTAATAAAAATTATTTTTTAAAAACGAACTATCGTGTTGTCGATACGTAATTGGCGCAGTCGGTAGGATGGTCAATATTTGATACATCGAGCATCGATTTTTCGTTTAAACGATTTATTGGCCATCCAAAAGAACTTACAGTCGCGAAAAGTTTTGAACGGACATCAGGACTTCGACTGTTAACACCTTAAAGTGTCTGTGCGTGTAAAGTGATCACCTCTTATTATAATTCGCCAGCAGAAAATCAAGAAAATGCAACTGCATCAAACCCAGCAACAAGCGACTCAAATTTTCAAGTAATTACAGACGAGACCCAGAGTACGTGACACAAAACCCACCGATAATATCTTTGAATTTATATAATGCCAGCGAACTTTCGTACATTGAATTCTTAGAATACCAAATCATTTATCGATCCAATATTGCAAACAAATATTTTCCCCAATTTATTATTAAAGACCCATTTATCGTTAGCACCGTATTTCAGAAATCTGCTCACAAACATAGTGCCATAATACCGGAATCAAAAATCTTCTTCAAATTTCATAATATTTTTGACGGTCTAATAGGTTTAGACAATTTGAAGTTATTGCAAGCTAACGTACACCTCACGCAAGGATCATTGCAGTATCAGCAAACAAAAAATGAATTAAATTATATAACTGTCGGACCCCGAACCGAACAAGTAATCAGGATAAAAACATCGATAAAAAATGGTGAAATAATATTTCCATATATGCAATTGCAAAATCTAGAAATTCCAGAGTCTTTGACTCTAGCAAAAAATGGTTACGCGATAACGACTATTACAAATAACGCTTGCGAATCTGTCACCTTAGATTTTTCCGAACCAATTGAAGTCGATTCTTTTGATCGAGACGATATTGAGACCATTGATTTAAATAATTACGATGACACACCTAAACAAATATTAGATATTTCAAAAATTCGAGTTGACCACCTAAATCCTGAAGAAAAAAATGAGATTTTAAATCTATGCAAGGAATACTCTGATATTATCCACCAAGAAGACAGCCCACTTACTTTTACCAGCAAAATAAAACACCATATACATACAACTGACGAAATGCCTGTTTATACTAAAACGTATAGGTATCCATTTATACATCGGCCAGAAGTAGAGTCCCAAATCAAAAAAATGCTAGATCAACAGATTATTTGGCCATCAAATTCACCATGGTCCTCACCGATTTGGGTTGTTCCAAAAAAAATGGATGCTTCAGGAAAACAAAAGTGGAGACCTGTCGTGGACTATCGGAAATTAAACAAAAAGACAATTGACAACAAATATCCCTTACCTAACATATCCGATTTACTAGATAAATTAGGCAGATGCCAATACTTCACAATGCCTCGGGATTTCACCAAATCGAGATGAATGAAAGTGATGTTCCCAAAACGGCGTTTAACACCGAAAATGGCCACTATGAATACCTCAGAATGCCGTTTGGTCTTAAAAACTCCCCCGCCACGTTTCAGAGCGTGATGGACTCAATACTCAGAGGAATACAAAATGAAAAATGCTTAGTCTATCTAGATGACATCATCATTTTTTCGACATCATTGACAGAACACATCAACAACATAAAAGCCGTTTTTCAACGACTTAGAGACTCCAATTTCAAAATACAACTGGATAAGAGCGAATTCTTACAAAGAGAAGTAGCCTATCTAGGACATGTTGTTACCCCAGACGGCGTGAATCCCAATCCAGATAAAATATTTGCGATTAAACAATTTCCCATTCCAAAGACTACCAACCAAATAAGAGGATTTTTAGGACTTATAGGATATTTTAGAAAATTTTTCAATAATTTTGCTAAAATAACTAAACCACTCACTAAGTGCCTGAAAAAGGGTGCTAAAATAGAGCACAATGAGGAATTTGTAAATTGCTTCCAAATATGTAAAAATGTATTGATGAATCAACCAATACTTCAGTATCCGGATTTTAGCAAACCGTTCAACCTAACAACAGATATGAGTAACATTGCTTTAGGAGCAGTGCTTTCTCAAGGTACAATAGGTCAAGACCTACCTATCGCATATGCGTCACGCACTCTCAATAGTTCCGAGTGTAACTACTCCACCATAGAAAAAGAATGCCTATGCCTTGTTTGGGCTACCAAGTATTTTCGTCCGTACCTATACGGTAGAAAATTCAATATAGTCACCGACCATAAACCACTCCAATGGCTTTTCTGTGTCAAGGATCCAACCTCGAAACTTTCACGATGGAGAATAAAATTAGGAGAGTTCGATTACCAGATAATATTATACAAAAAAGGGAAGCTTAACACCAACGCCGACGCATTATCAAGAATTGAGATCCACACTAAGGAAACAAACAATATTTTTGAATACATGGATGAATTTAATAAAAATCTGGAAAACTTAGACGATAACGTACCTGGTACAAGTAGAGAAAATGAAGATCAAATGTCAATGATAGCACAACCAGATACCGACCCATTAAACATCGCTCAAGATACTGATGACGTAACCGTCCATACAAACGAAGAACAAGACCCAATAGTAGGAATACCAATTATCGACACAGCCGTAAATTATGGTGCAAATCAAATTGTAATTCAGCAAGTGCATCACTCACCGGCTAAACCAAGGATTGATTATTTATTTGATAAAAAACGCCGAATAACAGTTCAATTATCAGAAAATAACTTTGAAGAATACATAATGAACTTTAGAAAAGAATTAGTAGCACCAAGAAAACTATATCATCTGTACTTCGAAAATCCGTCCACGTATGAACCATTTTGCCGAATAATAAAAGCAAACTTCAGATGGCCCTCGCTAGTATTCAAACGATGCCTCACAAACTACTGGATGTTACAAACAAAAATGATATGAAAGAGATTATCAAAAAATATCACGAAGTAAAACCAATCATCGTGGTATTGAGGAAACTGTCAAAAGATTAAGATCAAAATATTACTGGCCTGACTTGAAAAGTGCAGTTCAAACGTTCATTAACGAATCCGAAGTGTGTACTCCTAGTAAATACGAACACAATCCTGTTAAAATTCCTATGAACGTAACACCAACAGCAGCAAAGCCCTTTGAAATTTTACATCTTGATACCTACACCTTAGAACAGACAAAATTCCTAACTATCGTAGATAGCTTCTCAAAATCCGCTCAGGCATATTTTCTCAGATCACTAGCAGCAACAGAAATAGTCGACAACCTATTAATCCATTTTTTCCATCATGGAATACCCAAGCAAATAATTGTCGATAACGGCACAGAATTCAAAAATGCCGTAGTAACCGAGTTATTGACCCTTCATAAAATCAAAGTACATTTCTGTTCCCCACATCACCCAGAATCAAATGGAATAGTAGAACGTTTCCATTCTACACTTTGTGAACATATCAGATTACTCAATAACCAAAATTTCGCAAATACGCCCGTGCAACAGAAAATGATTTACGCAATTCTTGCCTACAATCATACTATCCATTCTGTGATAAATTTCAAACCCATTGACATTATTCAAGGCCATATCACTACTGACGAAATTTTTGACCAAAAATTAGATACTAACCTCTGATTATGTCAACGAACACAAAGAAAAAACAAAAGTCCTTTATTCCCAATTAAACGAGGACTTAATAAACAAAAAAGAACGCTTAATATTGA